AGGAATGGTAACTGAGTGCAAAATACCTAAAGGTTAGCAGTAAAGCCAGCTCTGAAGTAGGCTTGCAGCCAGCTGTTAAAAAAAAAAGCAGTGGACAGAATCCAGGATTCCTTAAGACAAACTGAAAAACCAGGAATGCAAAGGCAGGGCTTTCCTGGCCATCTGCAATTGTTGGATGCGTTGAGCTTCTAGCAATGCTGTCACTAGGGTTGACACACAATTTTCAGTCCAAATCACCTGGTCCATGCATCAAGTGGTGCTGGTCTATAAAAGGCTGCATCCTATAAAGTTCAATTAGAATAACTGGGCAGGATTTGAGAGTTTTTTTCAAAAAAAAAAAAGAGTTGAGAGGAGTTGTTGCTGGTTTGTTTGCTTTTAAACTGATTAACTAGGCAGCTCTTTTTCAAGCTGTCATTTTTAAGATGAATACAGTACTTACAACGCTGGGGTGGTAGTGGATAACCCTCCACTGTGTTACCTGCCAAGTGAGGTGCAATAGGTGGCTACCAAAGGGAAGGCCTTTTCAGTAGTGGCACCTAGTTGTGTGATGTCCTTTGATAGGCCCTTTAATCTCTGCCATTATGTGAAGACTGCTGATAGTTCGAGGTTTCTACATCTTAAACCCCCTTTGTTGTTGTTGCTGTGTGCCTCCAAGTCATTTCTGACTTATAGCAACCTTATCTTGGGGTTTTCTTAGCAAAATTTGTTTAGAGGAGGTTTCCCATTGCCTCCCCCTGAGGCTGAGAGCATGTGACTTGCCCAAGGTCACCCAATGAGTTCCATGGTCAAGCTGGGAATCAAACCCTGGTCTCCAAAGTCATGGTTTAACATTCAAACCACTATGCCACACTGACTCAAAGCACAGTTAACTCAGTTTTAATGATTTCCTGATAGTGGCTGTATTTAAGTCAACTTATATTGTGGTTGTTTTATTCTGTTGTGAATTTTTTTTGGCTTGTTTTAACTTTTTATGGTTTTTAAATTTTACTCTTACCACCTAAAGGCGACAGATCCCATCTGATTATGAAAGACAAGTAGGCTCAGAGCCATAGCGGTTTGAATGTTGGACTAGGAATTTGGAGATCAGTGTTCAAATCCCAGTTCGGCCATGGAAACCCACTGGATGACATTGGGCAAATCACACTCTCTCATCCTCAGAGGCAACGGCAAACCCCTTCTGAAGAAACAGCCAAGAAAACCCCATTATACGTTTACCTTAGGGTTACCATAAATTGGAAATGACGTGAAGGCACACAACACACATCTAAAAGCATCAGATCCCATCTGGTCTTGAAAGCCAAGCAAGGTCAGCCCTGGTTAGGCTATATTCCAGTGGAAGGAACTGGCAAAACCACCTCTGAGTATTCCATAGAAAATCCTATGAAATTAATGGGGTTGCTATAAGTTGACAGGTGACTTGAGGGCACAAATACAGATGTCACTTACTGAACAATATATAAATACTGTTTGTAAACAGATCAATAATGCTGTCTTACAAGGAGCATCATTCTTGCCCCTACTTCCATTAGTTTTAAACTGTTTTGCATTCCAGGCAGAGTTTTATTTGGACACATAATTACAGAAAGATAACAGTAGTGGGAAGAGGGAGAGACAGACTATGGGCAAAGTCCTATTCAGCACAGACAGGACATAAAGTTCCACTAACATATTCAAGTAAACAATCATACTGAATAGCTTTTAAGCCAACCTCTTGGCTCAGTCTGTTGCGCCATAGAAGAATGGAAATGTTAGAGAATTTCTTACAAAATGTGTAAAGACTACAACTATCAATAGAACCAGGAATGATGCTGGCATAATAACCTGAGAAGGTTCTGGCTAGTGTCTGTGCATTTTTAAAAACTCCCACAAAAGGAGGAATCTTTGCTAACCCTTCTGATATTTGATGATTCTGATTCCCCTTGGGGAGATGGCAGACTGCTTGAAACCTTTGTGCCTTCTGGATGGAGAACACCAAAGTTGCAAGCATTGTGGCTCCTCATTAAATAAATGTAATATGGAGGCATCCATATGAATTAGCTGAGTGAAGAAATGAGTTCCACACCACATCTAATCCTATTCAAAATCCCTATCAGCTACAAATTCCACAAGATGACTTAGAGCCAGTCTAACCTTCAGTCAGGATTGCTGTGAAAATTAAATGCCGGTCTGTGCTCCTGGACAAACACAGAACTAAATCATCTGTACAGAGTACAGAAGCAGGGTGAGAGAAGATGAAAGTAACTGATTTGGGCATAAAGAGCAGCTTTTGAAGAGGTAAAACAGGAAGGGCTGGGCAGGAGGAAAGGAGGTTGACAGGCATCCTGTGCAGAAAGTCAAATGTATGCAGATATATAGAGAGGGATGGAGAAGGGAAATAAGCATCACACCTGTTGGTCATACACCTCCACTCCCCATGTTCAAGTTTTTCAAACAAGCCTTAAATACTCACACCCTAATGAGCTTGGGCTCCAAAGCTGTCAGATGTAGCCAGAAAAATGGAGGATACAAGCTGTACCTATAGAGCCTACATGTTCCTAATCCTCTGCAGAGACACCCCCCCCAAAAAAAATAAAAATAAAAAATAAAATAAAATAAAATAAATCAAAATTGGCATCTCCTAACATTTGAATATGCTTTGCTTACATCCACAACTGACCGCATAAAAGATGGCAAGCAAACTCTGGCACCCACAATAGCATTTGCATTCTGTTTTGGCTAGCATAACAATCTACCATCTCCTACTTTGTTTTCCATCATTCATACTTGAGGCAGATACTGGCATACACTAACTGGAAAGTGAGCAGATCAAGAACTCATAAGCACATACCTGTTTTATTTTTCATAGTATTCCACCTGGCATTAAACAACTGTATTAAATCAATTAGTTCCAGAGGGTTTCTGAATATTTCCACACCTGGGCTAGAAACCATTCATGTCTGGAGTCCCCACAGCCTACATACACACATGCTGCTGTGTTCATCATCCTGATTCCCCCCTGGCATTCATGTGTCCACAGTGGGGCTGGCATCACTGAGGGGGCAGTGCCAGGCTTGACACACTCATGGGCTGAAAACCTGGTTTGATACCAAAGCCTGAACATCAGATAGTATACGGTGTGGGTTCTGGCTAGGGGAGGAGGCCTAGCCCATGGCCATCCCCAAACCTAGAATCTTTTTAAAACATTCAAATGTTGAAAGAGATATAGCTCAATCAAGCCCAGTCTACTGTAAATGCGGGAACTCTGCAGCCCTCCAGCTGTTGTTGAATTATAATTCCCAGCAACCCTAGCAACCATAGTGAAGCAATGGTGAAGGATGATGGAAGTTGTAGTTCAACAACATCTGGAGAGCCACATGATTTCCACCCTGATGTATAGACCATAAACTGACTGCTCTTGAACAGGGCTACTCTAAAGCATTTTGCTCCCTCATGTGGAGCAACAAATGGTGTCTCCCTCTCCTTGTTTGGCTACATCATTGTGCATTATCCAAAGCTACACACAAGAGTCAGGAAAACTGCGTACACTCTTTTCCCCACTCCAGACACCTGAAAATATCAAAACAAAATCAAACTATTAACAATTTGTTGGGTTTTTTTCCATGATGCTCAAAATTTGTTCCCTGAGGTTGCTGCTAAGCGTAGGGCCATCCCTGCATGTGCCTGATTTTCCTATTGGCTTACTAACTCACATGCATGTTGTTGAAGTAAAACTCATGTGCCCATCAGCTAAGGAAGGATTGTGCTGTATTTGGTTTTAAGAAATTAAGGTCACTTCCCCTCTGGTTCCAGTCACACATTCCTTACATCACCATCTTGCCATAACAAGTCCTCAAGGAGCCCCCCTGTCACACATCCACACGCGCCTGTCCACGGCCAAAAGAGATTTCACTGCCACAGGAAGGAAGCCTGACTGCATTCTCCTGGCTCCTTCTAAGCTCCAGGGAATGAAACATTGGCAAGCTCTCTGGAGCAACCCTGTTAATGCATGGCTTGATTCCACATCATCTCACAGTTCAGACCCAGCACACTCTCCTGCTGCTTGCCTTGGGCAAGGAGGCAAACCATGCCCTGAAAAAACAAAATCCTACGCTTAACCAGTTTTGGGTGAATCATAGCACTGTGGTCTTTCATTTCCTTCCAGCTTAGCTTTAGGTTTTAAGACACAAGTGACTGAAAAGGGTCCAATACAAGACATGCTTCAAAGCAACCTCACTTCCTCTAAGGGGAGCATGAGCTCAGTGGAAGAACACCCACTTCACATGCAGGCAGACCGAGCTTCAGCCCCCAGTATTTCCAGTTAAAAGGAGGTCAGGTAGTAGTCAAAGTGTTTCTGCTATGGACCTGGGAGGTTAGCTAGCAAAATACTGTAGAAGGATTGCAGCACCAGATGGGTTAAATCAGTATGGGACATTTATCTGAGAATACATGATGAAGAGCCTGCTGGATCACACCAAAGATCTCTGTCGTTCAGCATTCTGATCCTAAAGAGAAAACCAGATGGTTCAATGGGAAGCCCACAGTGATGACACGAGTGTGACAGCACCCTCCATCTGGCATTCCCCAGCAACTGCTGTATAGAGGCATGTTGTCTCGAGTATGCTTGTACTCTTACATCCATTGTGTTGTGTGCCTTCAAGTCATTTCTGACATGGTGAGCCTAAGGTGAACCTGTCACGAGGTTTTCTTGGCAAGATTTCTTCAGACTAGGAAAATGTGACTTGCCTAAGTGGGGTCTCTATGGCCAAATAGGCCTCCTAGTCCAACACTCAAACCACAACACTATACTGACTCACCATATAGCCATACATTCTGCAAAGGTAAGGCTCTTTCACATCACAAGTACACACTCTTTTATGGGGGGGGGGTAGTGTTACTGTCCTTGAAATTTGACTACTGTTTCCTTATTTCTAATTTTAAATGAAGACAATTGAAGGTGCCTCCCTTATTTATTTACCTGCTCTTGGATGGGAGACCACCAATGAATACTAGGTGCTGTAAGCTACCGTATATATCAGAAGAAAGTACTAGCAAAATCACTTCTGACCAT